TATGAATTGCTTATACGCTAACAATGATCCATATTGTTTTTTTACCCCCAGGGGCAGAGCCACGCCCATTTTCTTTTCTTTTTATGTCTGTGTGTCACCTACAGGCCACAATTCTTAATCAATCGTCTTGAAAAAATTTCATATGAATTGCTTATACCCTAACGATGATCCGTATTGTTTTTGGTGCATGTCCGACCGCCAGGGGCAGAGCCACGCCCATCCCTTATATTTATTTATTTGTTTGTCATCTACAGATCGCATTTCTTATCGTATCACCTTGAAACTTAGCATACATATTCCTTCTATCCTAAGGAACATTATTTGTGGTGAATACCCAACCCCCAGGGGCAGAGCTACGCCCATTTTCTTTTTTTTATGTCTGTGTGTCACTTGCAGATCGCATTTCTTAATCGATCATCTTGAAAACTTTTTTATACTTATTCCTTATAGCCTAAGGCTACTTTTTTATACTTATTCCTTAATCCTAAGGCTGACCTCTATTATTATTTTTGGTACATGCTCAACCCCTTGGGACAGAGCCACGCCTAATGTTTGTGTGTCTTGTGTTTTGCCTACAGGCCGCAATTCTTAACAGATTCTTTTGAAACTTTGCATACCTATTCGAAACGTCATGCTTTTAGAATAAAGACATTGATTGTTTTAAAATAAAAATGGTGTTCTGTTAATGTGAACGAAATGTTAAACTGATAGCAGTCCTACAACCCAGTTTTATTTCACAGACCCTCAATGCAAACTGGACCATATCAAACAAAACAGGAATGTGGACGTATATTGCTGCGTTAGCGATGCTCTTGTTAGCCAAGTCAGAGCAGAACAATGGGACGTTAAACCCCATTTCATTTTATGAACCCTGGGGTGAGAGTGGTAAATATCTTTATAATTATCTATCGTCGGCCTGGTCGGTATTCGTGCCACAGGGCCCCGATCCGATCCCCAATGTCCTATGTATGGCTATGCAGGGGTAAATTTCGAAACCCTAATTTTGCATAGGCCTTGGAGGCCCTGATTTTGTTTTGCTGCGGCAAATAAATATTCTCTCAGCGGCCCTGACGAAGATATTATTTTCATTAAATTTCTCCTTGTAATTCAACGTGGATGATTAAAGACCTTTATGTTAATAAGACACGCATTACCTTGGTTTTAATACAACGTCGCCATAGTTACGTTGTCTTCTTCTATAACGTATTTTTTACTATTAAGTCCTGGTGATAACAACATGGCGGACAGTACTAGAATATTGCTGTAGATCTATACATAGGCGTATAAGCCAGGGGGCGGGGGCAGCTGCCCCCCCCCCCTAACTTTCGGGCAATCTGACTTTTCGGGCAGACGGGTAAAGTGAAAAAAAAAATTATTTCGTCTAGTTGGCAAAAGAAAGTGCCCGAAATCTAATATTGGACAATTTTGGGGTTGCTTAACTCACGGGCTAGATTAGAAGAAAAACGCATTCGCGGTAGTTAAATTTCAAAATTTTGTCCGGGGGGGGGGGGGCAGGCCTTTATACCCCGAGATACTTCATTGGTTGTTGGGGATTCAGGTCTGTCACCTAAGGTAGGCTTTTTTAGACCACATTGAAGTTGCTTTATTCACAGGCTGAAATAGCAGGAAAACGAGTTTGCGGCATTTAAATTTTTAAAATTTCTTCTGACGGTCCAGTCTCCGTGGACTACTATAAACGATTGATTGATTGGATCAGAACATAAACATAACGACTACGCATGCGTTAAATGGAACACTTGCATATCGCATTAGGGTAGTCTTGGTACTTTACAAATTTGGTGCATTCGGTTAGAAATGTCTAGTGAAGGAGAATTCGTCCGTTTGTTTCGCGACAATAATACTTATTAGGGATTTACACTGTGAAGCTTGTGTGAAACAATATTGTTTTCGTTCAGGTTAATATATATGTTTTTATTTCTGTTTCCACCTTGCTATTTTCGCAGAAAAATGTTTATTGCATCACTTGGACTGACTTAAAGATTAAAATATTTTGAAAAGTCGGCACATGTCAGAACCATGCAAACTCTCCGAAATACGTAATTTGGTATAAAAGGTTAGGTCTTATTTAAATTTGAATAAATCTATCGGGTAAAATGATTAAGAATTTTTTGTTTTTTTAAAATTTATAGTCCTGTTTTAGAGTAGAGTTTGGGAATGTGTCATTTTTAGAAAACGTTTCAGTTTTCGAAATGTTTGCTTGAAACATTGTGATAACGTATATGTCCTGATGAGCTGTCAATACATATCAAACACGAATTTATCTAAATTATCTTCCGTCCTAGATTTAATTTTTAGGGTATAAAATGGGTAATAATTATCCGACTGACCCAGAATTAGCGATTCTTAGAAAATGTAAATGAGCAGAGCAACACGGAAGTCAATTTTTGAATTTCGTTTTCCTACAATTTGGATCATAAGGCTGAAACATAACTATTTTTAAAGGCATATTAGTCATATATAAAAGCAAACAAAAATCAATAATTTATTTTAAATTTCCGGGAGTGTGAATATATTATCAATTATCTATTTATAAACTATTCTTCACCTAAAGCTTACCTAATGCTCATATGCCGTGTTATTGATTTAATAAATGAAATGAAATGAAATGAGGTTTAACGTCCTACTGTTTTGCTCCGAACTGGGCTAATGAAGACGGGCATACGCCATACAGTGTGCTATGAGGGAAATTTTGCCCGGACAGCGGCACTTGGGCCTACTCTTATATCGAATTCCAACTGCCAAGGGATCTTTTACGTGCACGCCAATGTGTACACGGGACCTCGGTTTTTCGTCCCATCCGAACGACTAGACAGCTTTCCTTGTCAGCCCCTCCGTCCTGCATCACGGACAGGGAGAACCACGCCGGAAAATCTGGACGAACTTTCTCGGCCAATGCAGGGATCGAACACCCGACCTCCAGGCTAGCGAGCCAGCGTCTTACCCACTTAGCCACGTGATCCCCTATTGATTTAATAACTATCTAAATAATTATAGTACAAATGTAGTTTTATTTTTGTTGAGGGTTTCATTAGGAATTACGCTACATAGAAAATTAGTTGATCACCATGCCAGTCTTAGCTCAAGTTTTAAATTTCCAATAGTTCTCGGGGCAAATTTTAAGCCACTGAATAATTATGCAAACCGCCATAACCAGTGGATGTTGTGGACCGAGTTATTTTTGAGTATGTCCTGCAGCCTCCTTCCAAAATTTCATCACGCGTCTGCATACTAGCAGGTTAAAACTTGTATGTAGCTTATATCGATATCAAAAAGTTCCAATCCTCGCACGAAGGGAAATTAAATATTCAAGTAAGTGGGACAAACAACTATGGTCTAGGATCCAATTTAGGCGAAGCGACTTAAAGGTAACCCAGCACCACTTATCCGCTTAGGCTCTTTCAGATAACTAGGCCAAACAAATCAACCCTCGATTAGGTTAATATTTATCTCGTTATTTGAAGAGAGAGAGAGAGAGAGAGAGATCATTTCGGGACTAACAATAGTTCAATTTTATTTCAATAATTCGCTTGCGCCTAGAGGTCTGTGGCAGTGGGAGGAAACCGGGGGACTAGGAGAAAACCCATTCTTATAAGACGCTTTATTAGACCATCTTATTAGCTTATGATGAGCCATAATATCATCCAAAATCTTCGATATTGAAAACACGAATTATTTGTCAATTTAAATCAACATTGATGTTGTGATCTAACCGGGAAAAGATGGGCTTCTGATATCCAATATTTAAGACAAAATAAACGTTTTACCATTAATACACGAATCATGTACCATAATGCGTTTCAGCGCCATTTGTAACAAGGGACTTGAAGAACGAATCTAGACAATAATTCCACAAGTCATGTCAAACAGTGACGTCATATTTTCATGACGTTATATGAAATTTCTGGCTTCACAGTTGTCGCAACTTTATCTATATACGGCTTTGATCTGGAGAACATGCATCATAAATAATATCGGTGAAGACTGGAATAACCAGACGCTAAAGATTGCCATTCGATTGAGACTTCTGGCGTATTTCGCCGAACATAACTGATTTGAAATTAGAGTAAAAACGGAAATGATCGAATAAATCAGTTTATATACATTCATATTACATTATTATATGCATTGCGACCCATTTGTGTCAATTTCTAGGTCCCAAATATTAGCGATTTAGCCCCTTTAAGAAAGAAGAGGGTTAAAGAGAAGACCTTTTTCCTTCTATATTTTCGTTTTATATTCCGAATTTTATAAATCACTTGATTAAAATTTCCTTACCATTTGATATTCGAACAAAAGAATGTAAGCTGAGATTTTTAAATGTAACCAAGGAGAGATTTTATTCAACGCCTATGTATTTCAATACAATTATGAAAACCGATACGAGTAACCCGAAAGATTTATTATATTATTAACAACAAGCACAATCTGATTCAAACACAGATCATATTTCGTTTCGTTTTTTATAGTTCAAAATGTCGTTTTCTTTGTCTGTACTACACTAGGATCTGGAAGAGTTGTTATATAACCCGCGTTCTGGACGATGTGAGGGATTAGCCAATGAAACCATCTGTTACGGCTTGCGATGCACGGAACTGTGGGTAAACCATTAGAAACGCCAACGCTCATTGATTAATCAATGTCTGACGTCAGAGGGTCAAAAGTGGGGCGATAAATTCATAAAACCGATTTCATTCCATTTCCTTGTCGAATAATATATGAAATGAAACAATTATGAAAATAATGATATAAAAAACGCAGTGGTATAATATTATACGCCCCATCAATGATTTTATTAATGCATATACATGTGTTTACGTGGATGGCACCTGTTCAATAAGATATTGATCCGAATGCGTCACATGTCTAACATAACAAGAAAGACGAATGGTGTTATCAAGGCTGGGTAGCAGTCACAATGATCTAGTAAATAGCTTTTAGTTTCATCACCGTGGAACCTCTGTCCTACACATTTAATCGTTAACCCACCCAAACCTGTATAAACACATACCTTGCAATCGAGCAGGTGCAAAAACAGACAGGTATGGAATAAACTAATTTATAGCAACCAGTTTAGTACAATGTTCCAGATATCCTTGGCAACAAGGTAAATAAACGCATTAAACATGGCAGCCTGAAGTAATAAGCGGCTGTCAACAATAACCTTAGACCGAGTGATATATCTGTTCATCTTTACATAAGGTTTGTTTCATATTATTTTTTTATATTGAATAACAGTTTTAACAGTTTGTTTGATCAAGACAAGAGTATTCTCGTCGAAACGTCGCTTAGTATTAAACTCAGTAATTGTGTATCCATAAAATTGTCCCTTGTGTTTTCCTGGGTTTGCATTGATCTAAGTGATATGGAATTGTATTTGGTTATAGAGGATTTTTTTCCATTGTCTTTTTGAAACACTCCAACAGGTATAATTATCGTATATCTTTGATTTGGGATTTCATTTCTTACCTTTTTATATAATTTTAGCGTTTCATGTACCATGATTAATGTACTCAGATGCATTGATTATTCTTTTGTATATAATGGATGGCTAGTATTTTACTAAGTGCTAATGTTGCTATATTAAACATACATTATGCAAGCGCTAAATCTGCCTATTGCAGACCTTTCTTTAGGCCTGAAATGTTTTCTAAATTATTAATTAGACATTAATTAACTTATCCAGACCATAATCAAACCTCGATGGCATCTGATTTCTCCGATATTAAATAGATTAGAACAGTTCAGCCATATTTTGATTTAAGCTAAAATTGGAGGAGTGAGGCTTAGCTTCGAACAACCAGTGCGGTGGTTGAAATTATTGCACACATCTTTTCAAACATTCAAAGGCTAATATCTTCGCTCGCAATAGAGTAATTTGAATGAAATTTTCAAATTATTCATTTTACATTGTCTATTTTCGAACTTTTATAGCATGAATGGCTAGCTCTTTATCCCAATCTTACATAATGTATCCTTAATAGGCCCTAATATAACTTTAAAAAATATGGCACCAAGCGAAGTCAAACAGGGAAACCGGGTTATATCGGATACTCTGATGGTGCTAACCCCAATCTTGAATCCTAGAAAATATGGCACCATGCGAGTCAAAAAGGGGCGCTGGATGGTGCTAACCCCACTCACGAATCCTAAAAAAAATAGTATTCCGAGAAGTGTCAGTGTTTTATTGTTTTTTTTAAAATAAGAAAGATATATCGAGCATATCCATGATTATTGATAATCGACACAGGAATGTGATTATTGCATCATCTAACATTATGTCTTAAAAGATGTTATATTTTTACTAAGTTATTAAAACTCAATTACTGAATCAAATCTTAAAGAGAGAGAAATGGGGTTTAACGTCCACTCGAAACAAACTACTGTCTGATTCATCGTAAATTTTAAACGGATTTCTTCGATTATGAACAAACTACTTAACGTTGGTTATTATAAACTTACCTGTGTGTTTGTAATGAACTCCCGTTCGATAAAATCCATTGCACAACTAATTATCACAACGATGAAAACAAGTTCTCTCTTGAAAAATTGAAATATCACAAACTTTTCCCAGAGAAAAATACCAATATGGAAGATGGTAACGTCACTCTGCGGAAGATATCATTTCGTATTAGGGGTGACAGCATAGGAAATTCAAGTACAATTACGACAAGAATCCATGACCACTCGGACCAAAGACCACTCGGTTCAAGACCAGTCGGACCAACTGATAGACCACTCAGCCCAAACAAATAGACTACTCGGACCATACAAAAAGACTATTCGGACCCAACAGAAAGACCACTCGGACCAATAATAAAATGTTGTTTTAATAAATTGATAATTGCGTTTGTTTTAATATAATTACTCGAACCAATAATAAAGTGTTATTTTAATAAATTGATAATTGTGTTTATTTTAATATGACTACTCGAACCAATAATAAAGTGTTATTTGAATAAATTGATAATTGTGTGTGTTTCAATATGACTACTCGAACCAATAATAAAGTGTTATTTGAATAAATTGATAATTGTGTGTGTTTTAATATGACTACTCGAACTAATAATAACGTGTTGTTTGAATAAATTGATAATTATATTCCAAATCGCAAAATATCGAGAACCACACTTGTAGTCACGTTTAAAAAGGGGCATATAAACGTCCGGTCTTCGTATTATTATGTGTTGTTTATATTAACGCATCAAGGGCGGATAACTTGAAAACGTGTCTCCACCCCCCACCCCCCCATATATAGTAACCCAGGGGTTAGTGGGGTAGAACGGAATGAAACCACTGGGGATACCGCGAATGTGGAAAAAGTAAAATTAGGCTATCAGACAAGAACAGTATACCCGTATATGTAGAAACTGTCAAAAGTCTGGACATACCGAGTCTCATTGCAAGAGTAAAGAAAAATTAGATTGATATTTTTTTTTGGCACCATTATTAATTAATTTTAAAACTAATCGTTGATTTATTTTCCGTACACAAAATTGAACCAAACAACTCTAAATATAAGAATTCCGTATAAGAATTATTTGCTTCTTTGTATTGTGATTTAATAATAAATAAATAGCATATTGTCTAGCCTTATAATATAATTTAATTGGTCCGACTGGTCTTGTTTTGGTCCGACTGGTCTTAGTCCGAGTAGTCTTTGGTCCGAGTGGTCTGGATACCTACGACAATTGGCATTGAGTTTGAGCGTTCGCACACATAACTACCCGCATTCCTGTTTAAAATTTACGATGAATCAGAAATCCGTTTAAAATTTACGATGAATCAGACAGTACTGTCTGATTCATCGTAAATTTTAAACGGATTTCTTCGATTATGAACAAACTACTTAACTTTGGTTATTATAAACTTACCTGTGTGTTTGTAATGAACTCCCGTTCGATAAAATCCATTGCACAACTAATTATCACAACGATGAGAACAATTTCTCTCTTGAAAAATTTGAAAATTTACTTGTAATTTCGACAGAGTCGAGTCAACAATGTCTTCGTGACGTATTGGTCGAATCCAATATACCTGTTGCGGGGGTTGGTTAACATTGAAAGATAGTTTGACAGCGCGATCATTTTGATCGTATATGGGTTTGGGCGACGAAAAATATCAATTGAAGGCAATTACATAGGAGATTTATATGGAAACCATTGATCGCCAGTCTATCAAATTTTCTTCACAATTAAAATATCACTGATTGCACGGATACTCGTAAAAATAAAGTCATGAATAAACTATAAATATCCTATCTTCTTCATGTTATAAATAATTTAACAAGGATCACGAAGCTTACCTCCGAATTCTCTAAGTGTATTTTTAATTTTATACGCATTCTTTCGATCGAATAATAACCGCTTCAGTAACATCTTTAAGCGTGTTGCGGCAGCCCTCAGCGTGTCTATTGCCGTATTGAGTGCCCGGGTGGGTATATAATGCTACTAAGCCCGTATGACCCCGTAAGAAGCGGAACATTAATTCTCGATTCGACAGTTTTGACCGAAGTGTGATAAAGCCCGTAAAACGAATGTATAGTTGTGTTTGTGCGGCATGCGTGTTCAAAAGTAAATAATCCCATCCGAGTCGCTAATCAAATAATTAGAACAAAATATTTCAAAAAGTAAAGCTATAAAATTTGCAGAGATTTTACTAGAATGTAAAAGACGGTAACTAAATACAGGAATGCGGGTAGTTATGTGTGCGAACGCTCAAACTCAATGCCAATTGTCGTAGGTATCCAGACCACTCGGACCAAAGACTACTCGGACTAAGACCAGTCGGACCAATTAAATTATATTATAAGGCTAGACAATATGCTATTTATTTATTATTAAATCACAATACAAAGAAGCAAATAATTCTTATACGGAATTCTTATATTTAGAGTTGTTTGGTTCAATTTTGTGTACGTAAATAAATCAACGATTAGTTTTAAAATTAATTAATAATGGTGCCAAAAAAAAATATCAATCTAATTTTTCTTTACTCTTGCAATGAGACTCGGTATTTCCAGACTTTTGACAGTTTCTACATATACGGGTATACTGTTCTTGTCTGATAGCCTAATTTTACTTTTTCCACATTCGCGGTATCCCCAGTGGTTTCATTCCGTTCTACCCCACTAACCCCTTGGTTACTATATATGGGGGGGGGGGGGGAGGTGTGGAGACACGTTTTCAAGTTATCCGCCCTTGATGCGTTAATATAAACAGCACATAATAATACGAAGACCGGACGTTTATATGCCCCTTTTTAAACGTGACTACAAGTGTGGTTCTCGATATTTTGCGATTTGGAATACAATTATCAATTTATTCAAACAACACGTTATTATTAGTTCGAGTAGTCATATTAAAACACACACAATTATCAATTTATTCAAATAACACTTTATTATTGGTTCGAGTAGTCATATTAAAATAAACACAATTATCAATTTATTAAAATAACACTTTATTATTGGTTCGAGTAATTATATTAAAACAAACGCAATTATCAATTTATTAAAACAACATTTTATTATTGGTCCGAGTCGTCTTTCTGTTGGGTCCGAATAGTCTTTTTGTGTGGTCCGAGTAGTCTATTTGTTTGGGCTGAGTGGTCTATCACTTGGTCCGACTGGTCTTGAACCGAGTGATCTTTGGTCCGAGTGGTCATGGATTCTTGTCGTAATTGTACTTGAATTTCCTATGCTGTCACCGCTAATACGAAATGATATCTTCCGCAGAGTGACGTAACCATCTTTCATATTGGTATTTTTCTCTGGGAAAAGTTTGTGATATTTCAATTTTTCAAGAGAGAACTTGTTTTCATCGTTGTGATAATTAGTTGTGCAATGGATTTTATCGAACGGGAGTTCATTACAAACACACAGGTAAGTTTATAATAACCAACGTTAAGTAGTTTGTTCATAATCAAAGAAATCCGTTTAAAATTTACGATGAATCAGACAGTAGGTCATTTCGGGACTAACACATAGTTCAATT